CACATGGAATGAAAACTGTAAAAGAGAAATGAAATGAAGATATGTTTTATGTTAACAGATATTTTATAATAGTACAGGAGGAGCTACGTAACACAAAAGGAATAAATGAGGACATAGATTCATGAAAGCATATGTGTTTGGGGAATACAGAGTAATAATGTAAATGGCAAGTTTGCTTTCTGAATGATTATTTGATTTGGAAATAACAGAAATGTAAACGGTAGTATCTCTAAAGTAATTGGAGTTACAAAGGAAGAAAAAGTTTAGAACATGTGATTTTGACTTTTTGTAACATCGACTGCTAGGAAAGGGAATATTTGTTGATTTTATTATTTTATTTATTTATTTACTTTTTTTGTTCTTCCAGGGCTTCTGGTACTGTTTATACTGCAATAGAAACAGCAACAGGAGTGGAGGTAGCCATTAAGCAGATGAATCTCTCTCAGCAACCTAAAAAGGAACTAATAATCAATGAAATTATGGTCATGCGTGAAAACAAGCATCCCAACGTCGTTAACTACTTGGACTCCTATCTTGTGAGCGAAGAACTCTGGGTGAGTGATGCATTAGTGGTCAAGTCCATCCTTATGTCATTAATGTTCTTTAGACTGTAGGCATCCTGCTTCATAATTTTGTGTGCACTTGTAAGGATCCCAACTTTTCAGACTTTTAATGAAAAGTGAAATATGGAGATTACAGAGGGAACAACTTCATATACCGGACTAGTAACTTGCATTGTTTGGTGGTTTGTATTACTCAGCAACTGTAAAGAGTATGGAAATTTGCTTTAGTATAAATAATTATTTTGATTTCTCGTTACTTGTTGTAAATGACTTTCCCAAAGAAGCTTCTGCAGAAACCAGTTTTTTACGGAGAAGTTCAAAATTCTTTGACTGTTTGAGGAATAAGAAAAGAATTGCACAAAACAAAAAGGAAGTTTCTAGCCTGTTTAGTTATTGAAATGCTTAGGATCAATTTTTATGTATAAACTATTGGGGTACTTTTTTCAATTGGCAGTACAGAACACCACTTAAGAGATTGCCCAAGAAAAATGGGGTAGTTTAAGTCATGGTGTTAAGAGAGAGAGATATGTTAATAACAATGGTTTTATTTTGTTATTCATGACAGGTTGTTATGGAATACCTCCCTGGAGGTTCCTTAACAGATGTCGTCACAGAAACTTGTATGGATGAGGGTCAGATTGCAGCTGTCTGTAGGTGAGTTTCTTCAAATATATTTTCTCTGTTGCAAAAAATCCCTGTTAATTTTTACTTGGTGCTGATGAGTAACATCAGTAGCATTATAGAAATAGCTGTAGTGTTTGAACATCCATGTCTCCCTCCATATCTCAAAGTAATTTTTTATGATATGAGAATTATTATTTCAGGACAGATTTTTCACAAATTAACGTAAAGAAAAAAAAATTAATCATCATGCAGTCTTGGATTCATAACATTAGATTGTTTCATATTGTATAGGAGTTTAAAAGAAAGCAAATTCAAATAATTTTTTGTATATCAAATATGTAGTCACAGTTCTAAAAGAAATTACTGTTTTCATGTATAAACTATTGGGGTACTTAGGTTGTATTCATTGGGCAGTACAGAACACCACTTAGAGATTGCCCAAGAAAATGAACTTTTGTTGAATGATAACCATGATTGCATAACTGTATGATGTAGGGAATTCTTGCTCATTGACAGTGAAAGTCTACAAAATAATAAATATCTAGAAAGATACAGTCATTGTCATCATTTTTTCTTTCTTTTCTTTCATTCTTATTTTCTTTATCTCTCCAAAGAGATGATAATGCCTGCTTAAAATCAGTTTATTGATTAAATTTTGTTGAAAATCAGATTCACATGTGATTAAAATTTCACAGTGTATTTACCTCCTTTGCTTAGTCTTTTTTCATCTTTAGAATGTATATATTGTTAGATTCATCTTGTGTTGTTTTCCCAATGTTATATGTTGGTGTGTTTTGTATGTCAGTTTTTAGTTTTTTATTATACCATAAACATGACTGTTTCATGTAAATTCAGTTTCCCACCTATCAGATGACAGAAAAATGCATATATATTTATAGTTGAAAATCTAAGAAGAGTTTGTGTTTTTAGTATGTCAGTATTTTGTGTAGCATGAGCATTACTGTGTCTCATGGAAATCACACTTATCCCCTATCTGATAAAAAAATATGTATATATAATTGAAAGTCTATGAAGAAGAGTTAATGTTGTTTCTCAAATTCCAGGGAGGTTCTACAAGCTTTGGAGTTCCTGCACGTTAATCAGGTCATACATCGAGACATTAAATCAGATAATATTCTATTAGGCATGGATGGAAGTGTCAAGCTCAGTAAGTACTGTGATTAGAACCTGCCAATTGCATTTTTTTCTTTTTCTCCTTTGTTGTATGTTAAGGAGAATTTTTTGATTCAAGCAACATTCACCTTGTTGGATTCTATGTATACCTGTTAAGCTTTATAGGGCAGGGGTAATTATGTAAAAAATTAGCATCTCCTAATTTGGTTTCCGATCTTGAGAGGGAATTTCTAGGAAATTTACCTGGGGGGGGAATGAGTTTGTTTACATTACATTGTTTATAGATGTATAAAACTAAAATTACAGGTATGGTTGTAAGAGAGTAAGTTGAAAGAACAAAAAAATATTGTGTTGTTACTTTTAATGCTGTGATACTTGATTATTTGGTATGTAAATAGAAACCTCTGTACAGTAGGTCCCTTCTAAAGAAATTTATGTTCATGATGCATCCAGAAGGTGTTGATGGAGTCACAAAAAATGCTTAAACCCTTGAAACTCTCCATTCCAGCTGACTTTGGCTTTTGCGCACAAATATCACCGGAACAAAACAAAAGGACTACTATGGTTGGGACACCATACTGGATGGCTCCTGAGGTGGTGACGCGAAAACAATACGGACCGAAAGTTGATATATGGTCACTTGGAATTATGGCTATTGAAATGATTGAAGGTATGCTATATATATATATATATATATATATATATATATATATATATATATATATATATATATATATATATATATATATAATTTCTTGTATTTGAAATGAGATCATAGTTTTTTTTCTCTCTCTCTCTTTTGTTTCTTTCTTCCTTAATAATTTAATATATATGCAGGAAAAGCTTGATGAGACAATTATTTATTTATTTATTAATTTACTATTATTGTTTTTTTAGCTGTTATTTCCATATCAACACTTAATTTGTCAATGCAGTTATGCCTATTAGTTTTACTTCATTAAAAAATCTGTATGGAGTAACATTTGGTGAGATTAATAATTTTGAGCTATTTTTCTTTATCCAAAAAAGTATTAAAGTCTGTAATGGAATTTGTGAACATCCTTCCTATATTAGATGATAACTTACTTGTAATCCATTTTTTCCTTTTGTTGTATCTTTTAATACTGTAGTTACATATGGTATTATAGAGGGCATTACTGTCATTGTTGGTGTACTTTCCAGCAACTGTTATATTTCATGAGAACTGCAAAACAAACTAGCAAGGGCCATTTTTGCATCCCTTCCTATTCTATTCACAGTGGGTAAATGTTCGCTGCTAAAGTTTGGCAAAATGAGAACCTTAGTGTGCACTGCACTGGGTCTGGGCTGTTGTACAGGTTGTGTAACGTGATTAGATGTTCCCCAACGTCAGTGAATTTTTCACTGTAACATGATTGGTCATTACCAAATGTGAATGAGTTAACAACCAATATTCATGTGATTTAATATCTGAAAGAGTCCAGCAAGTGTAGCAACCAGGGGCTAATAAGTGAGTGTAACCAAATATATGTTGGAAATTGAACCGTATTCATTGTGACAAGTCCAGGATAGGTATGAATGAGATTGAATATTTTCACAGTACAAGAGATGTATTCAACTGGTTTTTAATGTATCTTTGTCAGAAATACATGTAAGTTTTAGGTTATTTTTTAGATACAGTAGCAAGTACTCCCCAGTTCATAATCCACTCACACTGGATGACATTTAATTGCCTGAACTAGTGAACTGGGACCAAATGTCATGTGTGGTTGAGTCTGCTCTAAGTTGTACATGCTAAACAGTTGGTTGACCTTGACTACAGTCATTAAGGAGATCCAACTCTTCAGGAGTAGACTTAGTCTTGTTTTTTAGCCTGATTTCTCATAGAATTATGCAGCCAGAAGTGTAGATAAATTGATAGATGTAAGTATCCCAACCTTCAATTTTTCATTTAAGTGGCAGACAGCACATGAAGCCTGGCTTATAGCTTGGTATGGAGTAGGGATTCTTGTCTTGAATTGGTTAAGAAGGCAAAACATTATTTGTGCCCTCTTCCTCAGCATGTGGTGAGACTTGTATGGAAGTTCAACATTGGGATATTTGATGTGTTTCTGAATTGAAGCTGTAATTTTTAAAATCATTTGTATTTTTTTTTTATTGTAGGGTATGAAACCTTTTCTAAAGCCAGAGTATAAGATGTTGAATGTACAGGAAATATTCACTTGATCATCCTGTAAAAAAGATGGATATTATCAATATGCAATTATAATTTGAAGGGGGTGGCTGCAAGCATGGTGTGGCTTGCATGGCTGTCAATGATAAATCACATAATTAAAGAAGGGGAGTTATGATGTTAGAAATTATTAATATAAACCAAATAAACACACCATCACACAAAAAAGGGAAATAACAATAGAGCAAGTAGCTACATGTACGGTTACATTGAGTGTTGCTACAATTCATCCCTTGCCAGATTTTTTTCAGTAATCTCCAATATACTTTACCATAAAGCTTAGGTTTGTGTATATTTCGTAGATTGAGTATGCACTAGACTGAATAATTGGATCCATTTCAACAGGAGAACCACCATACTTGAATGAAAATCCTCTGAGAGCTCTGTACCTGATAGCCACCAATGGTAAGCCCGAAATCAAGGAACGGGAAAAGTTGTCTCACGTATTTCAGGATTTCCTGGACCAATGCCTAGAAGTTGAAGTTGAAAAGAGATCGACTGCTAATCATCTTCTAAAGGTAAGTTGGTCAACTTGTGTTTCTTTTGTAGTTGTGGTGTAGGCTTATTTGGCAATTTGAAATTCTATAGAATCACTTATGTGAGAATTACATATTTTGACCTTTCCTTTTTCCCCACATAGTTTTTGAAAGAGAAATATGAAAGAACCTGCTTCAAAAGCTCTGAGTGGAATATAATATGATGATAGCCCCAATGCTTTCGTTGTCGTTTATTAGGAACATATGTGCTTTAGCGATGGCTATGCTATTTAATGAAGGGAATAGATTTTCAGATGAATAACTAGGAAAGAGACAGAAAACTAAGGCTCTAAAGCAAGGCTTACATAGTACAAGAGAAGGAATTTGGAAAGTACACAAGTTGATGAAAAGAAGACTCACATGCTGAAATTTTTGTGCTAAATGTGGGTAATTTTGTATTGTACAGCATCTGTTCTGCTTCTCATATACTCTCTATTTTTTTCCTTTTCAGCATCCATTTTTAAAGCTGGCAAGACCTCTCTCAAGCCTCCACCCTCTCATTGTGGCAGCCAAAGAAGCTGCCAAGAGCCATTAGTGACGATTCTCAACTAGCAATGTTATTGTGATGCAGTCCTCCTAGTGCCCATTGATACCCTGTTTGCATAGTTATTTGCTGGCAGCTAGAAGAAAGCAATCGAGCATCTTGTTGCAGGCCGTGGATATATTTGTTATACTCTTCAAATACTGGCTGTGCGCAAGAGCAACCCCCATGCTACACCAGCCCAGTATCTTGTTAGCGATGCAGTGAACCTTTTTGTGCTAGGTGTATTCACTTCTTATTCAGTAAGAATTTCCATTTCGCAGTGTGCGTGGATAAGAATTGTGCTCAGTCTTGTCGCAGTTAATGACATGGAAGTTTCTTCTTCTCCCAGATGACCGATATGAATTGCATGTTGATGAAAAGCAAGTGTGGGATTGCTCGAAGAAGTGTGGTATGGTGTGAAGGAATGTGTTAGAGATCATCATCATTGTTATTACAATTATTATTTATATTATTTTTTTATAATTATTTTTAGTAATACAAACAGTAAAATACCAATGATATTAATATTCATATCATTATCTCTTCATCGAAAAGATGATAAAGGTAATAGATGTAGCAGCAATGATATTGCCAAATGGAAAATGTGAGGTGTTTATTTACGACAGTACAGTATACTCATATAATTTATTCAGCTCCAACATTTACAAAAAAATTTTCTTTTTGTTTTTCTTTTTTTCTTTTTCTTTTTTTTTCAGATTAAAAATGGAAGAAAGCAAGAGAGATTGCGAGAGTGAATGACTGAGAGAGAAAAAGAGGTGATAAAAATATTTTGTAAGTTACCCTCTTCTTTCACCATATCCCAGATAGTGTAAAATCAGGCATTCAGCAGTTTTAGTCGGAAACTCCTTGCAGCACTGTGACAGGTAGCTGTTTCTTTTTTTTTTCTTTCTTTCTTTTTTCTCTTCTCTCCCCTGTTCTTCTCATGTTTTTAGATACTTTAGCAGAAGGATATTACAGTGGTAATTTATATTCATGTATTTATGTTTACATATGCATACACTTAAACTTACACTTACACTTAAACATACAGATATGTTTACATACACATACAGATATTATATATATATACCTATACATATGCATATCCATATATTGATATACATATACCTACTTACACATGTACATGCATACATACATGCGTACATACAAAAACACACATACAAATATACATATATGAGAGTGTGAGTGTGAGTGTGTGTGTGTGAGTGTGAGTGTGAGTGTGAGTGTGAGTGTGTGTGTGGGTGTGAGTGTGAGAGAACAAACAAATAAAGAAACAAACACCCAATAGACAGACCAATTTTTTTTCTTTTTATAGTAGTGCCATTATCCATAAAGATCATGCAATATGACGTCACTATTTCTTCCCTGCATTGTCAAACTGTTTGTCTTGATACTCATGATCTTCAAGTCATTGCCTAGAAGGATGCATATGGATAAGAAAGATGAATGCCTATTATTGGTAGAATAAGAAATAGTATATTGTATACTATTGGCCACTCAAGGATGCAGTTCCTAGAAGTGTAATGAACAATGACATATCGAAACTAAATTAGATAAGTTTGATTTGAAATGAAGTGTGTGGATCTCAGCAGTGAAATACACATTGCGTGTCGAATTCTAATGCGTCAGGGATGCCAGGATGACAATGATGATCAGCTCAGCCTGATAGTTGTAGAGTGAGATGTTATCGGTTCATCTTGCATCACTATAGAATTATTAAGCAGTGTAACAGTGTCATTTTGGTCTGCAAATGTATTCTTGTTATCCTTTTATGTGTTCATATAACTTCATGTTCTCATCAAATAATTGAAAAAAACAAAAGACTGTAATATACTACAAATGGAGCTTAAAAAGTTAGATGCATCAAGCCTCACCGTGTCTGCATATTAAGACATCCTTAACTTGGCTGTATCAGTCAGGTAACCAGTTGTAGATTGATTATGTCTCAAGTATGCATCCACAGGAACCTGCATCTACAAATTTAGTAGAGATAGATATTTCACCTGTGCCTCACTTTCAAAGTTCACGGTGATACCATATTCAGTACTGTTACAGGTGAAATGATTCACATTTTATTTACCTTTTTTTTTTTTTTTTTTTACAGACAGAAAATGTAATCTCAGTAAGCTGTTCTGTTGAAGGAGTCATTTATGTTTAAGTATTCAGTAATGATATTACATATTGTATTGAGAGAATCTCTAAGCAAAGAGGGTTATTCTTTTCTTTTTGCTTAATAAACAAGGAATCACTAATGTGTTGTAAAAGTAGTCATCATTTTATTTATATGTGAAAAGTTTTAAAGAATCTCCACAGAAGATGAAACAGAACTATTCTCTTTCTCTTTCCCTTCCCATTTTCCCTTTTCCTTTTCCATAGAGTTTTTCTTCTCTCGTAGTATATGCTCAGAAAATGAAATCATTAGGTAGAAAATCTTATATTTGAGAATTTATTTATTATAAATTATGTGGGCGTATGCAATAGAAACGCAAAGTGTGAAGGGTGAAAGTGGGTGCCTTGTTCAGTTTCATGACTGCCTAACAGGTGTTTTCATGCCACTTCTTTCCTAAGGATGTAGCAGTGTATCAACTCTTGTTTCCATCATTAAAATAACGTGCAACTGGTACTACCTATCTTAAGGAATGCAATCTTGTCCTGTGGTCCTGTTCAGTTTGTTATACACACGTGAAAAGGTGCCAATATAAAAACGGCTGCTGCCTTCGTAGGATTGGAGAACACGTTCATTGACAGAACAAGAAGGAAAGTATTTCGACTTGAAAATTATTGCTTTTGTATTACTCACTTTGCTAGAATGTAATTGATTAAACGCGTGTGTACTTGGTTCACATCACTTGACGTTTTGTTTGCTTTACTCTCTACATTAATTATGCATTCATTCCAAAATGAATCAGCTGATTCTTTTCTCTGTTGATTGTGAATGAGGATGTGAAGGCATTTACTTGTACTTAGTTGCATTATTTACAGAAATAAAATGGGTTTGTTTTAGGTAATTATGCATATTTGGGAGTGATGTGAAAAATATGCATTATGTTATTTATATACCTGCAACTTGAAGCTCTTAGTGGATAGTTGAGAGACTTGGATGTTGATGTGTTTTTAAGTCTTAAAGGCTCAGGTTGGGCTTGGCTGATTCTTGACATTGCTGTTTGTGTTTTGCTTGATGAGTGCCTAAACGAGTTCCAAAGTTCAATTAAATTTCTACATTTCAGTGCTTTTATTGAAACTAATGTAAGTGAATAAAGCTTTGACTTTTCATCTTTACCTTCAGAGATCATACCAGTGGCTTACATACATGATGCAAATGTAAGCAAGGTACTGCTTGAAGTACTTTTTTTTTTCTTTCTTCTTTTTCTTTTTTTCTTTTTTTAGGGTAGCAATAAAAGTTGGATCCTAAACCAGTGCCTCAGTAACCAGTTGAATGATAATAACATCTGTTGTTAAATATACATCTGCTGGAGGGAAGAAAACTATGAGAATGCCTGCCGTGGCAAGCATCAAGACGACCAACACAGTAGGAAACGGATTTTTAGTAATGAAGAGGTACACTCAGTTTTTTATTGCATCACTGGAGTGACCGAGTACAAAATCTACCATTCCTACCACCCGATGACAATATGATGGACAAGTTTTGCTATGATTTTTTTGTGGACTTTACGCTCGCAAGTGATGTGTAAAGAATATAGGTGTACAAAACGCAAGCACTGCTTTTCATTGCCGGCAGGTCTGTCACCTTATGAACTGCAGGTACATTAGAAAAGCAGTGTTGTATGTTTTCTGACAAACCTTTTGTATAAATATGTTTATTTTATACAGAACCTAACTAGAAGTCTTGAAAAATGTGTTGCAAATGTATTTATTGTGTAGGTTATGTGTTTCATATACAGTATATATATCTGAAGACTTGGTTCTATAAAGTTAATTAACTTGCCTAAATGAGAAAGGTGGGGCTGTACCTGCTGCCTTCATTCTAGAAAACTGCATGACAATTTTAGATTGTAAATGATATACATGTGAGAGACCAATTTGTCTTTTTTCTTTATTTTCAAATTTTATTTTATTCTATATATACTCCTGTCAGCAGAAATTATTGAAGTGACAGATTCCTCATTAGCTTACAAGTGTCTGTAAAAGTGACAGTTGGAGAAAAGCTGAATCAGGTTACTGCAATTTTATATTTTACGAATTACCAGGTGGAGTTGTGTTGTTGTTGTTTTTAATTTTTATTATTATATAATTTCTTTTTTCATTTTTCTTTTTTTTTTTGTGGGTGTGTGTTTCTCTTTCTTTCTCTTTTTGAGGGTATCTTCTGGGCAACTGAAATTGTTCAATAATTGCTGACCAACCTCATCTGTCTTTATTCCTACCAGCTTGTCTCGGGTAAAAAAGGATTACGCACATTGCGATTCTCAAGAAGTGAGTGACGTCATCTTGTACCAGTGCCATGCTAAAAGATCAAAACTCTAAAGGATATTCTAATTTAGTGGGGAGGAAGGGACTGTGCACATCAGTTTTGAAATAATACAGGTATATAAGCTTCCAGTTTTTATTATCCTATAAACAGCATATATACACATAGTTTTTGGGAGAAAAAAAAAAGTGTTTGCTCTCATAACATGTTACAAGGAATTCTAAGTCTGTAAGGCACTTATACGTATTTCTATGCAATTCTAAATGTTGTGGGTCATGTAAAGACGAGTGCAAATGCTCCATAATAATGGTATTAAAGCAGGAGTGCACTCACAATACATACTGGTTTATTTAGTAATGGTCAGATGATATGTTGAGGATATGTAAATCATGGTATTGTAAATAGTTTTATTTTGTAGATTGTGAATTTACATGATAACAATTAGTTGTATAGGTCAGGTGACTTGTTGTTTGAGAACTTGTAAATAGTACTGTAGTAGGATTGATTATTAGTTATCCTAGACAGTCTGTACCTTGTCAACCATAAGCCAAAGTGGAAAGTCTCCAACCATTTAATACCTCTTTATACTGTCATTACTTAATTATTATTTTTTTCTTCAGCAAATTATAATTGAAACCTTCAGTTGATATGATTCAAGAACAGGAAAAAGTCTTTGATACCAATTATTACTGATGTTCTAAACCCTTGCAGAGCATTTTGTACCATGATGTTTATTAAAAGGTTCATTCCAAGACACAGTGTCCTTGTGTCATAAGACCCTCCTCCCCCATCCAGCCCAAGATGAAAGTATGTACCTTTAATTAGATAATTCATGTTGTAAACACATCTTAATTGAGTTAATGTGGATATTTGATCCTTAAAACTGACACCTTTGTGTTACATGCTAAAGCAAAAATATAAGGTCTAAGTTAGAGAATGTAATTTCCTCTTTCAGGACATACGGGAATTATACACTGATAAAATAATGTTGCTGATGTGGAAAATGTAGTTCAGTTTGCTGTGAGTCTTAGTGTATTCTGAGATAAGGAAGCAGGATGCAAGTTTTAATTTAAAAAAAAGAGAGAAATGTATAATTGATCACTTTACCCAGTGGCAAGCCTCCATTCCGGCTGCTGGCTACATGAGGTACTCCATACTGTCAATACCAAATATGACGAATCGTCATTTTATATAAACATAATTGTCAAGTAAATGAATAAAAGTAAGGATTTTGATTTCTTTTTATTCCCCTTAATGCACACAAAACATGTATTATCCATGCACGTTTTCATTTAAAGATGACATGTAGTCTGTCTATGGATAACACAAAATCAGACATAAACGGTAGTTCAGCCCATTATTTACAGTGATCATTTATAAATTACTTAAATGTACACTTGCAACAGTATACATTCATATGCTAATTGTTTACATAATTTTTCTATGTAACTAATTCATGATTTTACTCGATAAAAATACACAAATGCTTTCTTTCTCTCTCTCTCTTTCTTTTTCTTTTTCTGTTTTTCTTTCTCTCTTCTCCTCCTTTCTCTCTTCCTTTCTTTCTTTCTCTTTCTTCCGTTCTTTCTCTTTCTTCCTTTCTTTCTTTCTTCCTTTCTTTCTCTTTCTTCCTTTCTTTCTC